AGTAGGAAAGATTCACCTCTATCTGGGAATAAAGTGCGAAAAAACAGTTAAATTGCTATACAAGTTATAGATGAGTGACCCGAGATAAGCATCCCTTCTGTCCAATTACCTCAGTCCGCTGTACTTCAATGTATCTAAGGGACATAGTAGTCGAACCTCCAGACCCTCAAAAGGTAAAAAGAAATATATGTTAACTCCCACAATAGACCTATGCGCTTCTCAAGAGGTTCAGGAGCTGAAGATCAACAATTTCAAAAAGTCAGTAATTTTAGAAGGACACAATTAAGAAGACTCAAACTTACAGCGTAAGTTGTAGATCAACACTCGAAAGACTCACAGAAACTTTACCCTCAAGCGACCCAGGAGCTACAGCTGAACCCAGTCAAATTATATTATTATTATAATCAAAAAGAAGCTAAACCACAAGGGCTATGCAGCGCTGCAGGGCAGGAAGGAAGCGAGGGTATCAGGTGGCAAAAGGGAGATGGATGAGTAATAGGTTATGGAGAACAGCGGGGCAGTGGATGGTGAAAGGGCAGAGGGCAGCAAGAGATTGAGGTAGAAAGGGCTGAGGGGAGTGCGAAAGGTACCATCATCAGAGTTTGTTGAGTAAATTAGTTGTTGTCAAGAAGTCAATGAGAGAGTTAGGATTAAAGGAGAGTCCATCAGCAAGAAGGGAAGGTAAAGAGAGAGTAGTAGAGCGGAGACGACGTTGGAGGTAAATTCTGTGTGCTCGTTGATAGAGAGGGCAGTCTAACAGAATGTGGCTAATCGATACTGGAACTTGACACTGCTCACAGAGAGGAACAGGGCGCCTCTCCATGAGATACCCGTGAGTAAGACGAGTGTGGCCTATGCGAAGGCGGGAGAGAGTAGTCTCCCAACCTCGGCACTGATGACATGAATTGGCCAGTAACCTATGCTCGGTTTAATAGAATGAAGTTTGTTACCGAGTAAAGTTGATCAATGTTGAGTGTGAAGGTGGGTAGCTATTACAGCAAAATAGTCTGGAAATGGAACACCTCTATATGAAATTGGTAGGTCATGTACTGCTGACCACACAGCAGTGTCTGTCTGTTCATTGCCCTGTACGTCAGCATGACCAGGGACCCAACAAAAAACAATATCTTTATGCTTGGTAGAGATACAGCGTAGCCAAAGTTGGATACGGAGAACTAGGGGGTGAGGTGCGTCAAATTTCCGTATAGCCTGTAGAGCACTTAAGGGAGTTGAGACAACCACAAATGATGACACAGGCATAGATGCGATACGAATAAGTGCTGCAAGAATAGCATACAATTCAGCAGTAAAAATGCTAGCTGAAGATAGTAAATGCCCTCACACGACGCTGTCCGGAAAGTCAAATTATTATAATAAACGCTAAAACTACTGGGTTAACCCAGTCACAAATATGAAGCTCGCTCAAACTTGGTAGACGATTTCCATAGAAATTTACTTGCTAACAAAAGACTGAAAGCTTATGAGAATATTTTTCAGAGTATTGGTCTCCGTTGTTTATCATAGAAATATAAAAGTATTTTACTACACATACTCAATAGTTAGTGTGGTATGCCAGGAAATATGCTGGAACGTAACAGGCTCCGGGGCCTGGTGGTTAAAGCTCTCGCTTCACACGGTGAGGGTCCAGGTTCGATTCCCGGCGAGGGTAGAAACATTGGGCGTTTTTCCTTACACCGGATGTTAATGTTCCCGATCAGTAAAATGGGTACCTGGGTGTTAGTGGACTGGTGTGGGTCGCATCCTGGGACAAAACTAACAAAATCTGCCAGAAATGCTCAGCATAACAAGTGGCTTTCTATATAGCAGTATATTATTGATGTCAGTTGTGGTCTGTATACCTTGTACATGTACTTGCTGATATAAAATTATTATTAATATTTGAATTATTAAATATTTCAATTATTACCTGGAGTACCTGGAGAGAGTTTCGGGGGTCAACGCCCCCGCGGCCCGGTCTGTGACCAGGCCTCCTGGTGGATCAGCGCCTGATCAACCAGGCTGTTGCTGCTGGCTGCACGCAAACCAACGTACGAGCCACAGCCCGGCTGATCAGGAACTGACTTTAGGTGCTTGTCCAGTGCCAGCTTGAAGACTGCCAGGGGTCTGTTGGCAATCCCCCTTATGTGTGCTGGGAGGCAGTTGAACAGTCTCGGGCCCCTGACACTTATTGTATGGTCTCTTAACGTGCAGATAAAAATTATCTCCTTAACAACAAATGGGAATCAAGTAAAAATTATTCAACAATTTCTTTGTATTCCAGAAGGAAACAAAACTCACTTGTAAAGTCCGCCCAAAAAAAAAAAATAATAAACCTTCCTCTAAAGACGATGCATCAGATTTAAAAGTTCACAGCTAATATGAAGTATTCTCAAACAATACCACGTAAGGAATAATACGTTAATTTCTTAACAAAATTAGCAAACTGAAACCTACATCTGAATTTTTCTCAGTGTAAACCACAAAAAATGAAAGTTTGAAGCCGATCAGAAGCAGCATCCTCCAGTTACTCCAGGCAAACAAATAACTTCTGGTTTGTTTTAAAGCTTCAAACTGTGCTCTCGATGAAAGGAACTGGAACAACCTTCTTCCTCGGATTAAACTTGAATTTCTCCCATTCCCCAGGCGCTGTATAGCCCCTACTGGTTTAGCGCTTCCCCATTCATGTGTAGTAATAAAGCACTCGGGAAGGGAATTGTTTTCTCAAATAACTGGATCATTACTATTAACTACTAATAATGTGAACCTCCAAACCCGTGGGGGTCATTCAAAGCAAGGAGTGCTGCAGACTCAAGCCTCCGTCCGCTAATCGCGGACCGATCGCTGATTAGTCAGGCTGTTGGTAATATGGAAATACGAAAACAATCCCAAGTATGCTTAAGTTTTACCGTGATGAAGTAATTCATGAGAAAATAAAGTTGTAGGTTTATTCTCCAGAGAAAACTCGCCTGACACAGGTCTGTCTTGAGCCGTTCACTGGTTACGCTACCATGGCTGGCTGCCTCTCAGACGTCAAGTGTTTAACACACCCACATAGAATCTCCTGTGTCGTTCTGGCACTCGGGCTGTGGCCTGAGTGCCAGGAATAGGTCAAATGGAATCGAAAGATTCACCGTGCTTTTGTCAAAGGGCTGTAAACGATACTCAACTTGTCCTGAAGAAGACTCACCGTGACCTTGTCATAGGGCTGCCCCTACCATAGTGCTGTAAGCGGTGCTACACTTGACAAGAATGCTCACCGTGCTTCTACCATAGGGCTGTAAACGGTACATCACGTTTACACACACTGACACCTTCGAGAGCCACTGCCAGGTCACCACATGGAGAAGATCCGAGCCAGGACCCCTTCTGGCGGACCTACATGAATATACAGCAACACCTCGTCTATCAACCACGTTAGCAGCTTACAGCTTGGACTCAGTGGTGTTACAATTGTGGACCATAACAGCAGCTTGGACTGCATTCTGTCACATTGGTGGACCACGGCAGCAACTTACATACTGTACCCAGTGTTCTGAGTGCCACAATGGTGGACCACGACAACAGCTTACAAATTGACTCAGTGGTGAGTGTTACAATGGTGGATATCGGCAGCAGCGACCACCGACTTGCTTGTAAGCGACTCAGTGGTCTGATTGTCACGTTGGAAGACCATAACAACAGCGACCACTTACCCGTGATGGACTCGTGGTCTGAGTGAAATTTAAGGCATGGACTCAACAGCAACAGCAGCATTAGAAAAAAAAAACAGCAGCAGCAGCCATGCGGGACAACACATTCGCCGGGCCGCACCAGATTATAGGTCTCGTGTTATGGGTTAAGCTCCAGCTGTCTGACTCAAATACACTTGATTTTTCCGGATTATTCGGCACATAGTTATATTCCCCTATGGATTCTTAACTCATTTACCTAATGCACAGAATATTACAAGTCTTGGCTAGGTTATACAAGGTTAAATCTTCATAATTTATCGCCTCAATATACCAATAATATTCATACTCCTAATGTAATTATTGAAGGTTTTTAAACAATGTAAAATTATCTTTATAGTTAACGGAATAATAATGATAATTCAAATCATACATAAATATACATTAACATGTATGCACAGCATTCCGGGGCAAAATATTATTACATTTGTGGGAGAAGCGTTAAAACCTTAGGAGTCACAGTTTTGCTCTCCAGGAGCTTTATCAAGCCGTAACGACTTGATAAAGCTCCTGGAGAGCGAAACGTTGCTACAATAAAATGTCACATTACTCGCACTTGTGTCATTTTACCTAACATACTGTGGGTAATTCTAGCAACATTAATACGAGTCATTCAATGCCTGGGGAATGTTAGGCCAGCAACTGCGATTCAGGGAAAGAGAGAACAGAACAAATTTCCTGGACCAAGATTCACTCTCCAGTAAGAACCACCCTTGAGCGGCCTACAGAAATTATAATCTATTGAGATTTGTCATATTTTTAATCCCGAGTTTCTTCCAGCGAGGTGATCGTATTAGCTATCCCACGTTAAGACAAAAATAAGATTTATTATAATCTGTATCAGGCTAGTGTTGACATGTTTTTGTAAAGAAAATGTTAGACTGGTCTTTCGTATTATTATCAACAAACTTTATATTCAAAGAAAAAAAATGTTAGCAACTGTTTGAGAAGGATTTGTTTTCCTTCAGCATGTGTCTCTAGTGTGTATATAACAAAACATGTAATCGTGTTAGAACACCTAACCCACAATTTTCTAACTTTTTTTTTTGGAACACACTAACATCTGGCTCCGATTTTCCATTGTATTTTTTTTTTTTTTTTTTTTTTGCTTATTGCCACTGGTCCTCACATGATGACGCTATAGTGACGTAACCTTCAGCGAGCACCAATCAGTGTCTACAAAGGATTCGTCACATGCCTGCATCTGATTGCAACCAAAGGCAGGTTAAAACCTCAGGCAGTTGATCGCTGATGCTTTCGGAGTAATGGTGTCGTCGCTCTCAACTCATAATCGTCTCTTGATTTGTTTGCGATATCATAATTCTTACAATTATTTCACCATATTCAATAGTTTTTTGTAGCCTAATACAATCCATTAGTCGCACTTTTTTTGTTTCCAAATTTCTATACATATAATAATCTGATGTTCCATTTTGTGTTGTTTCGTAACCATTGTTTTACATTGTTAAAAATTAAGAATTGTTGTGGAAAAATACACAATTAGCGTAATTTATTAAGCGTTCTCGGTACTGACCTAATGTTATGTTGAGGAACTTGGCGACCAACCAGAAGAAACTTGTGGCCTTTTAACAGCAGCTGGAACCAGAACGAACCTGGAGCTACACAGCAGCTGGAACCAAGACGAACCTGGAACCACACAGCAGCTGGAAGCAAGACGAACCTGGAACTACACAGCAGCTGGAACCAGGACGAACCTGGAACTACATAGCAGCTGGAACCAGGACGAACCTGGAACTACACAGCAGCTGGAACCAGGACGAACCTGGAACTACACAGCAGCTGGAACCAGGACGAACCTGGAACTACACAGCAGCTGGAACTAAGAACATGAACCAAGAAGCAGTTTGAATTAAGAAGAACATGGAACTAAGAAGAACGTGGAACTAAGAACATGAACTAAGACGCAGTTGGAACTAAGAACCTGGAACAGAGAAACACTTGGAATTAAGAATTACTTAAAACTAACGCGGACCTAGAACTAAGAAACACCCAGAACAAGTAGCTAGAACTTACGACTCTTTTAGAACTACCAGTAACTAATAATTTTAATTTCCTTCTATCCTAATTGATTAACAAATAGGAAAGAGTGTTGTATTATAGCGAGTTTCGTACACAAATCATATTACGCGTCAAGCGCCTCAGATGTTAGATTTAGTGGCACAAAACTTCTGAATTGTATCCGGTATGGCGCTGCCGTTACCCAATGTACCGCCCACACCAGCTACACAACCCACGCCCACTGTACCTCCCTCGCCTCTGACACTGTCAGAGTCCGAGGCACTGGCTTGTCTCCAGAAGAACATGGACATGATCTTCCTCATAGTTTTTGGGATCTTAATAACCCGTGAGTACCTTAATAAATGTTTGTATTTCTCTCTCTCACACACGCACAGTAGAGGCCAGCGAAGAGGCGGGGCCAGGAGCTATGAATCGACCCCTGCAACCACACCTAGGAGAGTACAACTAGGTGAGTACACACACACACACACACAGGGCCAGGAGCTGTGAATCGACCCCTGCAACCCACAACTAGGTGAGTACACACACAAAGACTGGCGTGGATAATCTGTTTCACCATCCACATTCCTGAAACCAAACAATAGAAGCTTTCACAAAATATGAAAAAAAAAAAAAACACTGCCCTTGTTCAAACACCTGTCTCTGTACTATGCTCAAAGACGCTCCAAATAAATCTCTAACAAATCATGCTAGCAATAGAACACGTGTTGTCAAGTGTAAATATATGTTCCTGGGATGAGCTTTTATATACTATTTTGCGGATCATACAGGTGGTGACGTGAGCATTAGTACACACACGAAAAAGATGTGCACTCTGTTATGTATACTCCTAATGTAAGGTAACAAATCTCCTCTACCTTATGTGTACTTTCAATGTAAACCCTACCTAGCATGAGGCTATACTGGGCCATGTTAGGTATCGTAGTCTTACAACCAACTATTCCCATGAAGAGTCAGTATGCAGTTAATGGGAAAAAATCATAACATGCCCACAATTTGTGAGCTTGTTATAAACTCCCACTGTGTATTTGTCCGACCTAATATAATCAAAGTATTCGCCTCAGTGACGTTACTCGACAATTGTAGTGTTCGGCTGAACCACAACAGAAGACATAATGGGTACAATAGAGAGAGAGGACGGGGAGGGGGGCACGAGGCTAAGAAAGAGTGAATCAGAATGGTGGCAAGTTAATGGACACGGCCATGGTCTGAGAATCAACCCATACAACCACAAATAAGTTAGTACACACCATATTCCTAACCAAAACATTCATGGATGATGTATGACATCATTCAATGTAACCAAAAAGAAAGTTTATAAAAGACGCAGCCTCACTGCACGTATTTCATTAACAACAAATCTTTCAGGTACAAGGTAATACTGTTTTTACTATACTAACTGGTCTGAAATGTGGTTATTATGGTGGTATGTTGACTCATTCGATGAGTGGCACTGCACATTAATTTCTACCCTCGGGGAAGAAGGAAGTTGTGAGACACTCTAGTAGGCCATCGGGGCAAAAAACCTACCTATATATAAAAAGACAATCCTACTACCCGTCTTCTCTCGGAACTACAACAAAGTGTTCACATATATGGGAAGAAATCAGCAAAGGGATCAAAGTGATGTTCAACAAAGGTCAGTGTTTCGTGTATTCCAGTAACAAAAAAATCTCAGTTGCAAGGTAATATTTTTTTTTTACAATACTGGTTGTATTAACTATTACTGGCAATGTGCTGTTCATTCTCACAATGAGTGGTACTGCTACATAAGTTCGCGTGCAATACATAAAAACATAAGGTGGAACACTGCTGCAAGCCTACTGGCCTATGTAGATAAATGGTTCAGAGAACCGACAAGTTGATAAATTAAGACACATGTACAACACTTTGGTATCTTAATTCAGGAAACGTTTCGCCACACAGTGACTTCACCAGTCCATACAAAGGAGAATGGTGAAGAGGAGGAGGAGTTTGAGGTAATAAGTCCCTCAGCCTAGAGTCGATGTGTTCAGTCCATCAATCTGCAAAAGAATACAGCTAGGCAGGTTGTCAAACCCAAACTCACTAACAAATATATATGCTCAACACATTTCCAATGCTACCCAAGGAATAAGCTTTGATAACTATTAACTCGTCCAACCCCTAGCACTTATGTATTCATCTAACCTATATTTGAAGCTATCCAAAGTTGTAGTTTCATTGACTACTAGGTAGACTATTCCGCTCATCGACTACTCTATTTCCTATATCCTTTATAAATATAAACTTATCAATTTGAACCATTATATCGATTCTTTTCTTTGACGGGATATCCTCAAAAGCCTTTATATCTCCTTTGTGTATGCCTGTCTTCCAATTATACCTATACTATTTCTCTATTTCAGCTTTATGGAAAAACACAGATGCAGTATAATGTGATCCTTTACTGATCACATCATCTGCATTTGTTTATTTTTCCATCGGGTCGGTATTTTATAAATTTTATCTCCATTTTAGCGTTATAGTAAGCACTTGGGTACTGCTACCTTTGTTCCAGGTTTCTGGTAATCAGGAATCTAAAGTGCCTTTCGCATCCAGAGATGTCCTAATGCTTCGTAGTAAATACCTAGAAGTTAGTAAAGTGTTGTGAGCTGCATCCTGCGGGTGGACCTAAAATGGACTTCCAGTGGAAATAAGTCACATTAAACCATACCCCCGGCCGGGATTGGTTTATTTGCAATCGTGTCATTACGATTTCTTGAGTCATATAAGTCACATTGCTTGGTTTAGAAAGACACGTGAGCAAACACTAGGACATATTTATTGGAAAACGTATCGGTCGTGGAACCTTGAAGTAATCAAGGTCCCAGGACCGAAACGTGTCTTTCTAAACCAATTTGTTGGTATCTATTACCAAGGTTTTCTTGGGTTACCCTGGATTATTAATTCTCCAGGGTTACTAATCTAAAGTCTTTAACTTTCATTCTATTAATGAAATTTATTGAAAGGGTTTGCTGGTCGTGTAGAAGTTAAACACAAGTTTTCTCAGACGTTTCACTATTGGATAGCTTGATATTTTGCTTTGTATAGGCCAGTAGGCCTGTTGCAGTGTTCCTCCATTCTTATGTTCTCTCTCTTTAACCTTGTGGGCAATAGGTAGCCTCTCCAAATATCCATTATTATTATTATTATTATTATTATTAATTAGTCATGAGAAAAGGCTACACGTGTCAAGGTCAACATACAACTGAATTGGAAGGGTAATCAGGTTTAATCGGAGGAAGGGAAGGGAAGCTGCAACTGACTGGATCAATACCCCTGAAGACTATTCTTAATATTTACCAGACGAGAATTTGCTTGCAAAGGTTATTCGGCTCATATAGTTCCCTGGTGATATGCCAGGCACTACTGTGACCTCTAGATCTTTCTCGATGAGTGAAATCTACAGCCTCTGTCTCCCAAGTCTTTACTCTGAGTCCGGTCTTGTCCCTTCCCCTGTCTTCATATACTTACATTCATGGTGTTTAAGTCAATCTTGCAGTTTTTCATGATTATATTTTTCTTCAGTAGTTTTACATCATTCGCGGACAAGGATACACATGATTCAATCCCATCTATAATGTCATTCACATACACCAGAAACAGAACTGGTCCTAATACCGATCCCTGTGGGACCCCGCTAGTTACTCTTCCCAAATCTGACATCTCTTCCCTGAGGTACTCCTTGATGCACAGGAGTACGCTTTACTGATTCCTGGCATATTATACTGGGCGCTGTAGATGACTTTCTCGTCGCTCGGTCAGTCATGTTAAGCACCATTAGGTGTGGCCAGTAACTGGATGAATGCTCACGTAGACTCAGCCTTGGCTAGGAAGATTTACACATCATTCGAGGTTGCTCAACCACAGTAATGATGCCTGTCCTCACAGGTTATGTATTCACATCTTGTACTCCATTATCACTATTTCATTGTATAATTCCAGACACTTAGTGATCTGATGATCTCGAGGTGGTAATAATAATAATATTATTATTATTATTATAAAGGCATAATCTATGGATTAGGAAAGAGATAAACCATAAGGGGTTCTCAGCGTGTATATGCTGAGAGTTGACTTTAATCCATATTTTAGGTATTATTCTTGCCTAGTGACGAAAATATTACGTGCAGCCTTGACCCTAGTGTAGTCGATAGCCTTTAAGATAAGATTTTGCTCGGATTTTTAACCCTGGAGGGTTAGCCACCCAGGATAACCCAAGAAAGGCAGTGCGTTATCGAGGGAAATGTCCGTCTTATTTCCACTGGGGTCCTCAATCTTGTCCCCCAGGATGCGACCCACACCAGTCGACTAACACCCAGGTACCTACTTGTTAGGTGAACAAGACAACAGGTGTAAGGAAACGCATCGAGTGTTTCCACCCCACCGGGAATCGAACCCGAACCCTCAGCGTGTGAAGCGAAAGCTTTTGCCACCAGACCACGGAGCCCTTTAACTTAACCCGTAAGGATCATACGACGCCCGGGGAATTAGGTGTCATCCACGTGGAGGGTAGTTCTAGTGTCTTGGATCAAAAGCCCTTCAGTAGCATAGGGGTAAACTCCGCTGTAGTAAATGTCTCCTGGGATCACAGTGGCTGAGGAAGGTAACACGTATTCGGCAGTCTTTCTGTACTCATCCAAGCGTCCTGTTTTATCACCTATATTTTACTGTCCTTGAGGAAGACGTAAATAACGTGTGTGTATAATTAAGGGGAATACTCTTCCCTACTTTGTATTGTATCTGTGAAGGAAGAATGACACATGGATACCAAGGAAAGCCATAATTTGTAAAGTGTTACAGTGCATCACGTGAATTCTGTAGTCATCCCTTATTTTATTCCGTTTTCTTTGTCAATAATTATTTGATTTATATTTATTAACCTGTCCTGTATAGTCCTTGTGGCTTAGCGCTTCTTTTTGATTACAATAAATAATAATAATATTAACCTGTCAATTGTGGATAATGATTGGCTAGCCCCACCATGCACCCCATACCCATGCTGTGGGCAGTAGTTACCCTATACCCATGCTGTGGTCAGTAGTTACCCTATACCCATGCTGTGGGCAGTAGTTACCCTATACCCATGCTGTGGGCAGTAGTTACCCTATAACCATCATGTGGGCAGTAGTCACCCTATACCCATCATGTGGGCAGTAGTCACCCTATACCAATCATGTGGGCAGTAGTCACCCTATACCCATCATGTGGGCAGTAGTCACCCTATACCCATCATGTGGGCAGTAGTCACCCTATACCCATCATGTGGGCAGTAGTCACCCTATACCCATCCTGTGGGCAGTAGTCACCCTATACCCATCATGTGGGCAGTAGTCGCCCTATACCCATCATGTGGGCAGTAGTCACCCTATACCCATCATGTGGGCAGTCACCCTATACCCATCATGTGGGCAGTAGTTACCCTATACCCATCCTGTGGGCAGTAGTCACCTTATACCCATCATGTGGGCAGTAGTTACCCTATACCCATCCTGTGGGCAGTAGTCACCCTATACCCATCATGTGGACAGTAGTTACCCTATACCCATCCTGTGGGCAGTAGTCACCCTATACCCATCATGTGGGCAGTAGTCACCGTATACCCATCATGTGGGCAGTAGTCACCCTATACCCATCATGTGGGCAGTAGTCACCCTATACTCATCCCGTGGGCAGTAGTCACCCTATACCCATCATGTGGGCAGTAGTTACCCTATACCCATCCTGTGGGCAGTAGTCACCCTATACCCATCATGTGGGCAGTAGTTACCCTATACCCATCATGTGGGCAGTAGTCACCCTATACCCATCATGTGGGCAGTAGTCACCCTATACCCATCATGTGGGCAGTAGTCACCCTATACTCATCCCGTGGGCAGTAGTCACCCTATACCCATCATGTGGGCAGTAGTCACCCTATACCCATCATGTGGGCAGTAGTCACCCTATACCCATCACGTGGGCAGTAGTCACCCTATACCCATCATGTGGGCATTAGTAACCCTATACCCATGTGGGCAGTAGTCACCCTATACCCATCCCATGGGCAGTAGTCACCCTATACCCATCATGTGGGCAGTAGTCACCCTATACCCATCCCATGGGCAGTAGCCACCCTATACCCATCATGTGGGCAGTAGTCACCCTATACCCATCCCATGGGCAGTAGTCACCCTATACCCATCCCATGGGCAGTAGTAACCCTATACCCATCCCATGGGCAGTCACCCTATACCCATCCCATGGGCAGTAGTCACCCTATACCCATCCCATGGGCAGTAGTAACCCTATACCCATCCCATGGGCAGTAGTCACCCTATGCCCATCCCATGGGCAGTAGTAACCCTATACCCATCCCATGGGCAGTAGTCACCCTATACCCATCCCATGGGCAGTAGTAACTCTATACCCATCCCATGGGCAGTAGTCACCCTATACCCATCCCATGGGCAGTAGTAATCCTATACCCATCCCATGGGCAGTAGTCACCCTATACCCATCCCATGGGCAGTAGTAACCCTATACCCATCCCATGGGCAGTAGTCACCCTATACCCATCATGTGGGCAGTAGTCACCCTATACCCATCCCATGGGCAGTAGTCACCCTATACCCATCATGTGGGCAGTAGTCACCCTATACCCATCCCATGGGCAGTAGTAACCCTATACCCTCTACGGGCAAGATCACAGCGATAACCTGCATCTGTTAGTTTATCCTTATTCCTGATTGATAAGTCTTGTGTTCATTATTTACGATTTAGATATATACTCTTATTTCATCTGTATTAGAAATAGTATTTTACGGTGTTATGTATTTATAATTTGATGTATTCTCTGTATTATCTAATCTGCATTAAAAATATTAGTTTCGTTTATGCTGGTTACCTTTTTCAGGATATCTCCATTAACATCATTAAACACACAGCATCGCAGTTGTCAAGATATTTAACAAAATATATTCTTGCAAATAAACCGTGGAACGGGTGGAGGTTTGAACTCATGGCGAGCAAGTTGCATTATTAAAATTTCGTGAGTCATGCACATTTATATTTGCTTCCTCGTGTTTCAGTGCTGCAGTGTGGCTTCGCGTTCTTGGAGGCAGGAGCTGTCAGGTCCAAAAACACCACCAACATTCTCATCAAGAATATGCTCGATATCCGTAAGCCATCCACCATAGCTACATTAGTATTCTTAAGGGGAAGCACTAAGCCTGTAGGAGTCATACAAGAGAGGGTAACTAATTCCGTGGATACATTCACGTTAAAGGTAATGCATTAGTTTGCACTTATCTTAGCCATGCTGATCAGTTGTTTCCTTTCTTTCTCGGGTAATATATCCAGTTTGGCATTGTTCAAATAATGAATGAAAAAATCTGATACTGTAGGTTCACTGTTATAGCTACTGCATGCCTGTATTATTCATCTGTTTAACGCAAACATTATAGAAAATTAAAACAACTATGGATATAAATTGAATCAAGTGAACCGTAATGAAGTGTACTTAACTTCTCATTGACAATAACTTAGTCCCGGTGATGGCGCCCGGCTACCAGGAGTAACTGGTGAACTGCGGTACTGGTGAGAGTTTCTCACTGCCTCCCGGTACCATTCTTATTGTCAGTACAGCCTCCTCCATGTTATTGTACAGTCTGAATTGCAGATTAATGACTCACTATGATTTAAACTAACCCCTCTGCCCATTTTATTTTCACTTAAGGGTTATTCAAATCAAGGAATTGTGAGACAGACACTACACCCCAATGGAAATAAGTCACTCTGTCTGACTTTTTTGGGTTATCCTAGGTTCTCTACACATATGCTGCTATGTATGATAATTCTATGTAACTGTATTGTGTATACCTGAATAAATTTACTTACTTACTTACTAATGACCTGGTTGTCCCTCTGTCCACAGTACTCGGAGGTCTTGCCTACTGGCTGGTGGGCTTCCCACTGGCGTTCGGTGAAGGGAACAGTTTCTGTGGCACTGTATACTGGGCCTCCTACGGCCTGGACGACAACATGATGGCCTTCTGGTTCTTCCAGTTCGTTTTCGCCGCCACGGCCGCCACCATCGTCTCCGGCTCCATGGCAGAGAGGTGCTCTTTCAACGCTTACTTTATCTACTCTGTTGCTCTCACAGGTAAGTGCTCTCTCTCTCTCTCCATCTCTCGTTATGCAACCAATTGATTGAGGTCACATGACAATTTCCACACCTGTAACTTACATATTGTAAGTGTTATCAGAGTTCCGTGTATCTATATCTGAATCTTAAATATTTCAGTTTCTTGGAGTGGGGAGGATGGAGAGGGTAAGACGAGGATGGAGGAGGGTAAGATATGGAGGGTGGAGGGTAGGGTGCGGATGGAGGAGGATAAGAGAGGGTGAGATGTAGGGAAAGGGCAAAACAATAGGATAGGGCGGGGAATAAAGGTAGAATGTAGTGAAAGTAAAGGAGCTTGTTGTAGGTTAAGGGAGGCAGGGTATGATGTAGGGAAAGGGATGGAAGGCAGAATATAGGGAGGGAGCAAGGGAGAATAATATCCAGGGAGAGGAAGGTGGAAGACATGCAGGATGCACGCACCAGGAAAGATGCCGCCATTATCATTATCAAATCCACTCACCTTACGGAGAGAATAAAATAAGCATTTCCATGATCGTGCGAGCATCAGACTGGAGATAACACATGAGGAAGCATTCTACGTGTGCCTTAGCCACTCAGGCAATCCAAGTCCTTAGCACGCACACGTTTAACTTTCTCTTTACTATTTCACGGTATATATACACCTAGATGTGTATGATTCTCAGAGTATATATGATCAAGGTTTACTTAATCCCTACTTTAGAGATTAAAATAATCTTTTCTGGTGGTGATCATGAATAGCCTGAATAATTTTCGTGTTGTCGATAGTCATTACATCCATTAACTAATTATGATTATTATTTTGGAGATGCGTTAAATCCGTTGGGATCATATAGTGCCTGGGAAATGTGAGAATCAGATTCGATCCATGAAGAGAACAGGTCCAATTCCTCAGTCGTGAGCCCCTCTCACTAGCAGTAAGAAACCCTTTGATATACCTTTGATGAGTTTCGAGAGTTTTTCTGCTCCCGGAGACCGGCCATGGGCTAGGCTCATCTGGTGTTTGCCCGATCAACCAGGCTGTTGCTGCTGGTGGCCCGCAGCCTCCCCAAACCTTTGAAAAATGCTACAAGTAATCGTTAAGTTGGTTTGTTGTGTTTAACAAACGTTAAGTTTGTTCGTTGTTTAATGAAGATTTGTTTGCAGGGTTGGTGTACCCGGTGGTGTCACACTGGGCATGGTCTGAACGTGGTTGGCTCTACCATCTACCCTACCAGGACTTTGCTGGCTCTGGTGTGGTTCACCTGACTGGGGGCGTGGCAGCGCTGGTAGGAGCTGTAACTCTTGGACCCAGACTTGGTCGCTTCGACACCGGCGCCTCGGAGATACGTGGACACTCTCTGCCGGTTTGTACTTAAGCTTCACTGTTACAAGATTATTATTATTATAATCAAAAAGAAGCGCTAAGCCACAAGGGCTATACAGCACTGTTACAAGAACAGGAACACTGCAGTAGGCATACTGGCCCATGCTAAGCAGGTCCAGTGGACACCCACTCATGTACCCGTCCACCTATAGACTATTTAAAACTATCCAAAATTGTCTCCTCAATGACGCTATTTGGAAGTCTGTTCCACTCATCAAGAACTTGACGCATCGTGTAAAGATAAAAGTTCACTTAATGTCCCACAGAATGAACTTTAAATTCATAAAAAATTGATTCCTTTAAAAGTATGAAATTATTTTTTTTCTTAAATGAAAATTAAGATTATATTCTAAACCCGTGAGGGTCATATAAAGTAATCAGCAAATAACTCGGTAAATCTTTATCATTCCCAAACATTGCACTCACTACACAAATTTATAGGTACGGTGACAATGTTGGTTTAGCCTAGTTCTTTATATACCGTAATACAGAGGCATTATTGTATATATGAGTGGTGTTTGTGTGTATACAAGTGAAAAATTAGAATCTTTCATGGAAGAAGTATATATAAAAACGACTTTTATGAAGTTATCTTAGGATATCTACAAGAGTAGCTACGATACCTTCACAGTGATAGCTAGAATATCTCCACAATGATGGTAAAGACACGTTGCAGAACTTTTCATTGGGAAAAAAGCTCTATATAACATCATAATTACCTGATAAAGCTCTACATAGTGAAACGTTTTCCCAACAAAAGCTTGTAGTGCGTCTTTTCTTGACTACTGTCGGCAGTGCAATATTTTGCTGCAATAATGATTTTTGTCGTTGCAGCTGTCAGCTCTGGGAGGCTTCATCCTGCTCTTCGGGTTCTTGGCATTCAACGGAGGCTCCCAGGCTTCCATCAGTCAGGAAGGAGATGGCGCAGCCGTGGCCCGGGCTGTGGTCAACACTGTGCTCTCTGGGTGTTCTGGAGGCGTCGCTGTGTTGCTCATCTACCGCTCTAGCCTCTGTGGCTCACCCTCAACCTGGTCCTTCCTCATGACTCTTAATGGCTCCCTCACTGGCATGGTTGGTCCCAACATCATAGTTGACTTGTATACATATATCAGCCTAGCATAAACTTGATATTGTCAGTAATGTGTTAACTGTTTAGGCTGTATGATAGTATTGTTAGTCCTAAAATGTGAATTTCTCTAGTTTTCATCCACTTGCTTCATTTAAACCGATTTTAGTTTTTAGAGACCTTACTCGGATTATTAACTCCGGAGGGTTAATTAATAACCCAAGAAAGTCAGGGTGTATGGCTTTCGTTTCATCCACCCAGGATGTAGACCACAATATCAGACCAAAATATTCATATTGGTTTGCTAGGACGGGTCCTGGCCCGGGTTTTTACCGTGTGGTGACCCGGCAGTGGCTCCCGAAGAAGTGTCGGAGTGTGTACACGTGATGTACCGTTCACAGCCTTATGGCAGGGGCACGATGAGCATTCTTGTCAAGTGTAGTACCGTTTACAGCCCTATGGAAGGGGCAGCCCTATGACAAGGGCGCGGTGAGTCTTTCAGCTCCATTTGAGCCATTCAGGCCGCAGCCCGAGTGCTGTAACGACTCGGGAGAATCTCGGGAGGTGTGTAGATATGATCAGACTAATTTCTAGGTAACTATTTATCACTAACTGAACAAAAGCAGCAAGTGTTGCTAGGAGACTTCATCATCAAACGTCTCCTGGAAGATGTGAGCAGAATGCTCGTGTTACTAAACTATTAGCTTTGAAAAAAACATTATTACCGGTATGTTCTTTATCACTGTGACCATGTTTCAACTTTTACATCTAATTTTATGTATTCAGAGCGCTTCATTGTATTCCTGCGTGGTTAATGCTGCGTTCCTTTCACAGGTATCCATCTGTGCTGGGTGCAACGTGGTGCGTCCCTGGGGAGCCGTAGTCATCGGCTTAGTGGCTGGAGCAGTGTTCCTGGGTATCCACTTCCTTCTTCCCAAGCTGAGAGGTGCGTCTCATGCTTCTTGATCAGTACAGGTGGTTGTCTACATGTATGTAGGAAGCCAGTTTTCTGAGTTGCGTCTCGCGTTTGCAGAAGTAGAGGCAGTCAGACTGTAGTTAGGTCTCGGAAATTGATTCGATGTGAACTGCAAGGTCTGTTAACTTAGGCACACAGTAGTATAATAACTTCAAGATCAAATCACTGATATGTACATGTAATTTAAACTAATAAAAGTTTTGTTTATAAGTGCGTTTAAAGTACTTAACCAGTGTGGCTTACTCAGCACACGGAGCGGTGAAGGCTCTATCCATCATTCCTAGTGGTGTATATATTGGGGACTTTATTTTATCTCTGTAAACTGCATCTCTTTCTTCCAGTTGACGACCCGCTGGATGCTGTGGCTGTACACATGGGAGGAGGTTTGTGGGGTCTGGTTGCTGTGGCCATCTTTCAGAGTGATGGTCTTATATACGGTGGCAGTGGAGAAGTGCTAGCCTGGAACATAGTGGGAGCACTGGCAATCTTGGGCTGGAGTGGTGGGCTGTGTCTCATTTTGTTTGGTTCTCTCAGACAACTGGACATGTTGAGGGTACCACCAGAACTGGAAACACGAGGTAAGACACGGGAATAATGTCGTATGTTTGAAGTTTATTTATTATACAAACTTAGGGCAATTCTAAATCTAGGATATATATATATATATATATATATATATATATATATATATATATATATATATATATATATATATATATATATATATATATATATATATATATATATAGGTAGTAGGTTGGTAGACAGCAACCACCCAGGGAGGTACTACCGTCCTGCCAAGTAAGTGTAAAACGAAAGCCTGTAATTGTTTTACATGATGGTAGGATTGCTGGTGTCCTTTTTTCTGTCTCATAAACATGCAAGATTTCAGGTACGTCTTGCTACTTCTACTTACACTTAGGTCACACTACACATACATGTACAAGCATATATATATATATATATATATATATATATATATATATATATATATATATATATATATATATATATTATACACATCCCTATGGGTTTTCTTCTATTTTCTTTCTAGTTCTTGTTCTTGTTTATTTCCTCTTATCTCCATGGGGAAGTGGAACAGAATTCTTCCTCCGTAAGTCATGCGTGTTGTAAGAGGCGACTAAAATGCCGGGAGCAAGGGGCTAGTACCCCCTTCTCCCGTATAAATTACTAAATTTAAAAAGAGAAACTTGTTTTTCTTTTTGGGCCACCATGCCTTGGTGGGATACGGCCGGTTTGTTGAATTATATAGTATATATATTATATATATTATATATATATATATATATATATATATATATATATATATATATATATATATATATATAATATCATGGGGAAGCGGAAAATAATTATTCCTCCTCAAGTCATGCGTGTCGTAGAGGTGACTTAAAATGCCGGAAGCAAAGGGCTAGTGACCCCTTCTCCTATTTAAATTACTAAATTTAAAAAGAAAAACTTTCATTTTTCTTTTTAGGCCACCCTGCCTCGGTGGGATACGGCCGGTTTATTGATAAAATATATATTTTTCTTGTAACTTTTGAAATGGCTTATAAGTCTATTTTCAAATGTTTGTCTGTTACACATCGTACCTATTTCAAAGATTTAGGTTACAGTGTTGTAGGCATGCTATTTGAACTAATTCTTCAAAACTGTCAGAGGCTTTACTAAGACTGTAAAGTCCCCTATAATGTTAATTATGAGAATACTTTACAACATTTTCATGAGGTCTGTTTTATATAATCAAGCGTTGTGTGTGTACAACAGGGCTGGACATCTTGAAGCATGGGGAAGCAGCCTACCCAGCTGAAGCTTGGCTAGAAGATCAGTACAAAGTCCCTAACAAGGCTGAGGAACACCTCAACGCCAATATATGTAAGCTGCAGTTTTCCATCTCCCTATCCGTATTCAACGTCTCTTATCGTTTATTGCATGTTTACATTTTTTTACATTTTGTAAATCATTAACTACGTCTTACCTTATTGTTCTCTGTATTCTGTACCTCTCCTCTATGGGGAGCGATAAACCGGTAAGTGTTATACGCCTAATAAATGAATAACGGATTGCAATTAAACTCGACTGAAGGGGAAGGTAGGCTAAATTCCTTGGATCAAAAGCCCTTCACAGGCATCAAAGGGAGTTTTCTTCACAGTAATATTTTTATTTGTGAGCCTGTGTCATAACTCATTGTAATATATAAAGGCTAACGTGTGCTTTACCTGTATAACTAATGTTCGGTATTTGATGACTTTGTTCAGTATATTTAAACAAGACATCTATCCACGACTGTACAGATCTTCCGCCCAACATGCCTGCGCCAAGACAACCTAGACGGAGTAAGTTCCAGTACGCAGCTACATGTTCGGGACATGGGGCATGCTGGACACTTTCTGACCCTAGGCATCCACGCCTAGCACTTCCCTCGCCCTCCTACCACTTCTCAGCCAGTCCCAAAATGAATGAAGTGTACCCTGGTGACGATGACCCGGCAACCCGTCTACGACACCATTACTGGCAAGACACCAGGGGACACCAAGGAATATGATTATAAACATAGCGAAGTGCTGAACCTGTAGGCGGTTGTGTAGTGCCTAGGAAATAAGAAATAATCAAGGTTTATCCATGGAAGAGAAGGGTAACTTCAAAATTTCATGGACGAAGAGCCCTTCGCCAGTAGAAAGGCCCCTTCCCTCCTTCCTCCTGAAGGGAACGTATGATAAAGCCTCAACCTTCGTGTCTCTCAGCGTGTCTGCTTTTTAGTTATTAAAAGATAAAAGCCACATTAGAACAAAAAACTGGAACTTATCAGAATCCTACTGACGCACGCTAGGCTAGTCTTACTGACACCTGACTACCACCAGTTAGGTTTCTGATTTAACTTATTTTTAAACCATTAAGAAGTATTTGTTAGTTACAATACGTGACAGTTTGTTCTTCCTATCTATAGCTACAGCTAAACAAATGCATTTCTATATACTTTCTAAATCTGAATTTAAGCACATCGAATCTATTAAAAGACATCGATATTTTAACAATTTATTAATATCCTTTTATATTTAATTTATATTTTTCACTGATATTCTTTATTAATCTGCATTTTTTAAAAATAAGTTCAGTGGTCTCATTTTGTCTCGTAGGAAAGATTCCTAATACAAGGGATTAATTTTGTCATTTTTTTCCCTTAAACCAGTTGGGGTCAAACAGCGCCCGAGGATTGGGATGAATTCAGGTTCGATTCAAGGAAGGGAAGTATAGGTCCAATGGCTTGCTTTAACTTTCCTTCGCTCCTATCAAGGCACGTCCACAGAGGGGACAAACAGGTACCAACGCAACCAAACCCAATCTAACCTAAACTATTAATTAATCACTAACAATTGGTACTGACACCTACACGTTCATTTTGTTTACCTACGTTAAAAATTATGGCAAACAAGGTTAATTAACATGTATTACACTCAGGAGACACTGCTCTGGTGTTGGTACTATTATTATTATTATTATTTTTATTATCACACTGGCCGATTCCCACCAAGGCAGGGTGGCCCGAAAAAGAAAAACTTTCACCATCATTCACTCCATCACTGTCTTGCCAGAAGAGTGCTTTACACTACAGTTTTTAAACTGCAACATTAACACCCCTCCTTCAGAGTGCAGGCACTGTACTTCCCATCTCCAGGACTCAAGTCCGGCCTGCCGGTTTCCCTGAACCCTTTCATAAATGTTACTTTGCTCACACTCCAACAGCACGTCAAGTATTAAAAACCATTTGTCTCCATTCACTCCTATCAAACACGCTCACGCATGCCTGCTGGAAGTCCAAGCCCCTCGAACACAAAACCTCCTTTACCCCCTCCCTCCAACCTTTCCTAGGCCGACCCCTACCCCGCCTTCCTTCCACTACAGATTGATACACTCTTGAAGTCACTCTGTTTCGCTCCATTCTCTCTACATGTCCGAACCACCTCAACAACCCTTCCTCAGCCCTCTGGACAACAGTTTTGGTAATCCCGCACCTCCTCCTAACTTCCAAACTACGAATTCTCTGCATTATATTCACACCACACATTGCCCTCAGACATGACATCTCCACTGCCTCCAGCCTTCTCCTCGCTGCAACATTCATCACCCATGTTTCACACCCACATAAGAGCGTTGGTAAAACTATACTCTCATACATTCCCCTCTTTGCCTCCAAGGACAAAGTTCTTTGTCTCCACAGACTCCTAAGTGCACCACTCACCCTTTTTCCCTCATCAATTCTATGATTCACCTCATCTTTCATAGACCATCCGCTGACACGTCCACTCCCAAATATCTGAATACATTCACCTCTTCCATACTCTCTCCCTCCAATCTGATATCCAATCTTTCATCACCTAATCTTTTTGTTATCCTCATAACCTTACTCTTTCCTGTATTCACTTCTAATTTTCTTCTTTTGCACACCCTACCAAATTCATCCACCAATCTCTGCAACTTCTCTTCAGAATCTCCCAAGAGCACAGTGTCATCAGCAAAGAGCAACTGTGACAACTCCCACTTTATGTGTGATTCTTTATCTTTTAACTCCACGCCTCTTGCCAAGACCCTCGCATTTACTTCCCTTACAACCCCATCTATAAATATATTAAACAACCACGGTGACATCACACATCCTTGTCTAAGGCCTACTTTTACTGGGAAATAATTTCCCTCTTTCCTACATACTCTAATTTGAGCCTCACTGTCCTCGTAAAAACTCTTCACTGCTTTCAGTAACCTACCTCCTACACCATACACCTGCAACATCTGCCACATTGCCCCCCTATCCACCCTGTCATACGCCTTTTCCAAATCCATAAATGCTACAAAGACCTCTTTAGCCTTATCTAAATACTGTTCACTTATATGTTTCACTGTAAACACCTGGTCCACACACCCCCTACCTTTCCTAAAGCCTCCTTGTTCATCTGCTATCCTATTCTCCGTCTTACTCTTAATTCTTTCAATAATAACTCTACCATACACTTTACCAGGTATACTCAACAGACTTATCCCCCTATAATTTTTACACTCTCTTTTGTCCCCTTTGCCTTTATACAAAGGAACTATGCATGCTCTCTGCCAATCCCTAGGTACCTTACCCTCTTCCATACATTTATTAAATAATTGCACCAACCACTCCAAAACTATATCCCCACCTGCTTTTAACATTTCTATCTTTATCCCATCAATCCCGGCTGCTTTACCCCCTTTCATTTTACCTACTGCCTCACGAACTTCCCCCACACTCACAACTGGCTCTTCCTCACTCCTACAAGATGTTATTCCTCCTTGCCCTATACACGAAATCACAGCTTCCCTATTATTATTACTATTATTATTATTATTATTATTATTATTATAATCATAACTAAGAGCTAAACCCACATGTTGGTATTATTAAAACAGTTTATTTCAGTGACCTGGCGAGTCACCTGACTGAATACTATCCAGTGCCTGGATAACTATCTACTTGTCAAATCATCTCTAACACAACTTTACCAACATGAATCTTGGTCGTGGTTCTTGCTTATCAAATGCTCTTCTGAACACTCGTGCCTTGACCCGTCCTTTGGCCTTTCTCATTTTCTTCTGTATTTTCTTTACATTCCCTGTATTCTGATTTTTCTCTTCCTTGCTTTCTTTCGGTTCCTAGCTTGGGCTAGTTGACCTGCTGCAGTCCTTCCCTGCCTCCCACCCCTCCTGGGAGATAATTGTTAGTGTTAAGACGTATCATTTTCCATCGCCTTGAATGTAACTCATTCTTACATCTCTAACACTTATCCTGCCTGGCGTGGGCCAGTAGATCTTCTGCAGTGCTCTTCTGTTCCTTTGCTCTCAAGTACTACTACTATCACTTCTAGCAACGAACGAACGAACAAGTGCAGGTAAGATTCCAATGGGATGAACGAGGAAGACGGGACAGACGAAGCATAGCGCTGGAGAGGAGTGTTCTTAGTCGTAGAAATAGAGCCAGGGCTTAACCCAGCAGCGAAGGCGATCGTGGGACAGACTTGAGAACAGGAATAGCAGGCATCTGTTGCATCGAACTTGTGGTAGTTGGAGTCTTGAATCTTGAGTAGCTAGGTCATATCAGAGAGCAGCACACAGGTGGGAGTTATAGGAGTAGTTGAGGAGGCAGGTTTGCAGTAGAGGCATTTTCAAATTTTTTGAAGCTGCTCCTAGATAGGTGGTATAGTTTAGTCTTGTTATTGAAGGTGAAACGTAGAGGCTTGATGAACTCAAGAACTTGAGTGAGTGTGAAGTGAAGAGGTGATTCACAAGCATACTTGACTGTTGTATACATGTTTGTTGAAATACCGACAATATGTAAAGTAAAAGGACACAAGTGCAACTAACGTGACATTTTATTGTGGCAACGTTTCGCTCTCCAGGAGCTTTGCCAAGCTCAGGGAAAATTACCCCTCAGGGAAAATTAACCACAGGTGTCAGTTCCGCTAATTCTACATCCACCACCATCACCACCACCATTACTACTCCAGGAGGGACCGAAATGTCGCCGTAAAGTTCCCCTCCCAAGTGTGGTTTTTGATGAATTATTCCAGCTACGGTGTTTATTCTTTGTGGTTGACTATCACATCAACATTACTAAATAAATTTAACTTCGTATAAAAAAACTGCACACGAAATATCTATTTTTGGCCTGACTACTGACAGACTACTTGAATTATAAAAATAAAAAATTGGATGCAGAAAAAAAGCACAATTTGTGGTGTGATGAAGCAGAGTTGAAACATGAAGTCATAAGACGGGTTGCTGAGTCGAACACCTGAGGTTATGTTATCAACATTGAAACATTCACCTGCTGGATCCAAGCCCTGGAGTGTGCCAAATCGATGTCCTGCGGCTGGGTCTAGCACAAGTTCTTTCCCTTCTCTAGTCCTTCCTTCCCCCCCCCCCCACTTTTTCCTCCACTATCCCCACTCCCCCCCATCCCTACAAGGCTCTTGCCCGAGAGTGACTGACCGATGGATGTAAATATAATAATAATAATAATAATAATAATAATAATAATAATAATAATAATATCTTTATTTTCTACAAGTACATGTACAAGGTATACAGGTCTACGTGACTTCAATGACATACTACTATAAAGAAAGCCCCCTTGTTATGCAGAGCATTTCAGGCAATTAGGTCAATTTTGTCCCAGGATGCGACCCACACCAGTCTACTAACTCTCAGGACCCTATTTTACTGATGAGTGAACAGGGATAGCAATGAAATGTTGCCGCTGTTCAGCAGCCTTCAACACGACAACCAGTCTTGTCAACTGCTGAGAAGTTATTCACTTCGCCAAAATTCGCTTCGTCCTCACTTTCTTACATAGCTATCGGAAGGGCACGGCTGAGGATATAAATACTAAAAATTTCTTTTTATGATAATTTATTAATTAAAAATATTTATGGCAGTGCTTGAAGACTAAACTATATATGTGTATATGTATGTATCTCAGGATGACAGACAACTAAACAAGAATTAACACAGACTAATAATAAAGTCAAGTGCTTAGAAAACATGAAGAATTGCGCGATACATCTGAGATTGATTCTACAAAATAAATGTATATGAACTTAATAAATAGTGCAAATGCTACATGTTAATGATTAATTATGAAGAAAATACAAAAGACACGTTAAAAACCAACTTCCAAAATGCAGCACATAAAATTTTAATGGTCACAATGCCACACACACATATATATATATATATATATATATATATATATATATATATATATATATATATATATATATATATATATATGCAAAGAATTCGCGAGAGCATGCGAAATATACACAAACACTGATCTCTGGCTGAAGGAGACTCGAACCTACGAACCTTAGGACAAGGTACGCAGTGCTTTACCAATCTACCCACACTGGACAATACCTTGGCGTGTAGCATGCGCTACACGTTTGATCCAAGGCAGCCAGCTTTCAGGGAGAAGGCTTACAGCTTTTCATCTCATCCCCTGCATGCATCAGCCTTACTAGAGATTTGAACAATGCATAATATATATAATATATATAATATATAATATATATATATATATATATATATATATATATATATATGTATGTATAATGCGCCAAACAACCACTGTGAAAGAATAGAGAAATTCCAAGCGCTTTCGTGACTACTCACATTATCAAGGAACAATAATTGTTCCTTGATAATGTGAGTAGCCACGAAAGCGCTTGGAATTTCTCTATTCTTTCACAGTGATTGTTTTTCATATATATATATATATATATATATATATATATATATATATATATATATATATATATATATATATATATATATATATATATATACATAAAACGCTCAAAAACTTACTTTAAAAAGGCTAATGGATACTGCAACAGTTTGGACGATGGTAATAACATGGTACAGAAAGAAGACGCTAACAGGATTACTGTATAATGACTAAAATATAATGAAATCAATCTAGAATAGTGTGATATATGGTGACATGACTAAATATAACATCTAGGTGAGCTAATCTACGGTGGTAGGTGGTACTTCCCAGGACAGCGTCCAGGGAAGGAATACTCAAGCCAGTCTATGGAGACACAACAGTGTTGGTTCGATCCCCAGCCGGGTTGCTGGGGAAGGTCTCTGGGTACTTTCTGTCCTCCTCGCTGCGGTTCTCAATGCTCACTGTTAACACAGATTACGTATTAATCATAATTATGGGTAAGCATGAAACCCGAAGGGGTTATACAGAGCCCTGGGTAATGGGAAGAAGTATGTTGTCATCAAGAGAGGGAGTGGGGTAACTCAAGAAGAGTGAGATATAAAGAAAAACACAGAGTTCATTAAAGATTACTAAGCGACCTGAAGGCAAACACGTTAGTTAATGCAGTTTTTTAATGAAGTCAATTTTCATTTTGCACCAAAACTTGTCTTATTATGTGAAATGAGCTTGATACAGTTATTGTAATATAAAATAACATGATTCACTTATCTAAGAATTACGACAATTTTGCTCATATGTTTTCCTTGAAAAACAAATGTTGAATTAAACTACACGTCTCTCGCCTACCATCTAAATACAACACTCAATAATATTCATTCTACAAAGCAAAGTGGTTATATATATATATATATATATATATATATATATATATATATATATATATAATATATAAAAATTGTGTGTGTGTGTCAGTTAGGAGGATTTTGAGTATATTTAGGTGAAGGAAGGGTCAAAAATTAATATTAATGTTACAAGTAGTGAAGTCGAGTCTTGAAAGCTTAAGTCCCCACACCCGGACACTCTCCTGGCGACTATTATATATAAACTAACGTTAAATACATAGAGATGATGATCATCATGTTTAGCTGATCCAGACACATCAGTATTATTTACTTTTAATTAACCTAAACCAGATAATTTAATAACTATGTAAGATAATTATAAAAGATACTGAAACTTTTTACAATAATACTAAGCTTGTAGTTATGAATGAAACAGTAATGTTAAGCTTTGAAGATAATTAGAAAGCTTATTAGATTGTCAGATAATACAATGTTAATATTTTTGTTAAAAACTTCACACACACACAAAAAAAAAAACGTTTTGATTGTTATTTCTTACTATGTTTGGTATATTAGTATATTATTATGAATAAGCAATATATACATTTTAGAAGCTAGCTTTAACTAATATTAATAGGTTAATTTACAAGACGCTGGATACATACAATGAGTCGCGTCGTTTAAAGGGTATACATAGAAGGTTAAGCGTAAGGTATACATAAAGATTAATCCTTACCACCATAGGTGATTAATCTCTTAAATATACCTCAAGTTTAATTATGAGAAGATAGCAACTTAGACCATTAATAAGCTACACAGGATTATTCCACGAGGTTTTCGCGTGTAAGTGTTGTAAGATACACACGGCTGGTAAAATATACATAATTATTATTATTATAATCAAGGGGGAAGCGCTAAACCCGGAGGATTATACAGCGCCTGGGGGGGGGGATGTGGAAGGCATTCAGGCTTAATTCGGGGAACTGGAGCACAGATCCAATTCCCTAAATCAAGAGCCCCTCACCAACATCAAGGAACCTTCCTTGAGGGGGGTAAAATATACAGTCAAGCTAGGATAAATCAAGAAAATCAAACTTAGAATTATTACAGTTTTTATACCTTACTCTTGTCCGTACTATGAATAAAATTTTAATTTTTACAAATGTTTTCTTTATTGACTGATTATATTTGTGGTCTCTATATTCTGGTGATACAAGCTTCGTGTATATTTTGGTAATATAGGCATCGTGTATATTCTGGTGATACAAGCGTCGTGTATATTCTCGTAATATACTCGTCGTGTATATTCTGGTAATATACGCATCGTGTATATTCTGGTCATATAGGTTTCGTAAAATTATGGTATATTAAATTAATGGCCACACTCTCCCGCATATATGTTATGTTTTCTTGAAGACTTGAACGAAGGTCATCTTTTCAATCTTCCTGAGACATTAATTAACGAGGACATAGTGTTGAAGTTTTTTTTCAAAATTGCAAATACCTGGGCAGACTTGCACGGGAGTCGCTTGTTCAGAGAAACAATATTCTCAAGTTACAGACGTATTATTGAAATTATATTCCCCCTACCTCGGATCAAACCTAATAACCTGCCATTCCGCAGACTCATAAGGGTTTAGGGCCCCCACGTGAAAATAACAGTTTGTGAAAGTACTTGTGGTAGCCATGAGTTAGTTAACTGGTGTAAATTAAAACTTAGTAGTCAAGTTAAATACTAAACTAAGATGACTTTTTTTTTACACTAGGTGTTATTTATTACTGAAAAATGAGTTAGTAACCACCACAACCAACCACCATCACCCACTACCGTCCACCACTACCTGACTCCGCCCATCACCAGCAGCACCACCACTACCAGTCACCACGACTCACCCCTCCACTACTTACCACGATCCACTACTTTCACGCATCCACCACCTTACCACGATCCACCTTCATCACCACCTGTTACCACGATCCACCTTCACCACCACCTGTTACCACGATCCACCTTCATCACCACCTGTTACCACGATCCACCTTCACCATCACCCACCCACCCACCTCCGCCAATCTCCGCTTGTAGCATGGCACTCATGAAGTTCTTGAAGAAACTTTCCAGCTCCTTCTCGTATATATCCATGAACTCCTTGGAGGTGTTGACGGTGCCCCTGGGCTGACCCTCCTCCAGCTCCTCACCCTCCAACACCTGACGCTGACGCTGCAGTGTCTGCTGACGAAGGAAGCTCCTCATGGCCTCCCGTGTGCTCTGTAGGTGTGGCATCACATGTGTGGATTGACCTACACACCTTACACAACCTAAACAGTTTTTCACTGACGTCACTATTTGTTCCCCGGATGAGCGGCCATATTGGTTACATATGATTTGTAAACAATGTGATGTGTGAATAAACAAATAATAAATGTAATGTGCTTAGAAAATAAATTAGCTGATTATTTAGACGCTTCTACTTTCAAATATTAACCTTCTTTTAGATTTACATTATAAAAAGTTATAACATGTATATATGTCCAGGCAACTTCCTCTAGTTGCAAGTGTTTTAATGTCTATTTTTTTACACCAATCAATTTTACAGGCTAAGATTTGTTATCCTACCTCAGCTCATTTTAAAGCCCCTTATGTCACATATTTAAGCAATAATGCTCCAAAATCTTCACGGTAAATTAAAAATAATATTGATTAATATACTTCCTGCTCATTTGCAGAACTAGATATTATGGATGAAGTGTTGTAAGATATAGCCGGTACAATAACAGTTTTATTTGTACAACTCTAGACTCATCACTCTGGTTATGTGAAAAGCCAATACAATCGTGGATTAGATTAGGCTAGGTAAGATCCGTTAGGAAACAAGACAAGTGTTTCCTGACGCGCGGGAGCTTTTGGTCATCTGACCGAGGCCTTCTGCTGGCTTACCACTCCACCCCTCTAAAACTTACGGCTGTGATTATAACCACTTTATCTACAAGGATAACTTGTCACAAGCATCACCTAGGTGTTTATTATTGTATGCAGCCTAATACTTGACACGGTATTTACGACCAGACCTGTTATGATAACAACTAATAACTCTAAGATAGACCTTATTGCTTTTATGTTTAAAACAAATCAACCAATTGTAAATTATCACAAATTATTTATAAAAACCAGACACTTCTGGACATGTTTATTATCAAATGTAACAACATAGCCGACCGGGAATTGATGTCACACGACATTATTCTACAACCCATTCATTTTTTCCAACCCATTCTTTTTTTTTTTTTCAATTTCATTCTGTAACCCATTAATTTTTTCCAACTCATGAGTGGTAGGCCAACGTGTCTTACCACTGCCGGACACAGGATGAAACTCAACTGCGACATTACCCATAATTTAAAGTGTCGAGCAAATTTTAACGTTCTTGCTTTAACCTAACAACTTCGTTGCCAGACGTATCGCGGCTGGTTTTTTTTTTTTTTTTTTTTTTGATAATTTCTGGGCGTGTTTCCTTAACACACCTGCTGTCCCTGTTCACTTAGCAGTAAGTAGGTACCTGGGTGTTAGTCGACTGGTGCGGGTCGCATCCTGGGGACAAAATTAACCTATGTTGCCCGAAATGCTCTGCATAAGAGGCGACTTTCTATACAGTATGTCAGTGATGTCAGCTATGGTCTGTATAAGTTGTATCACGTACTTGTAGAAATAAAGATTACTCTTATAAATCTGAAAGAAACTATTTCAAGCATATAAAAAAATTAGAGAAGAGTCGGGTCCTCTTTAAACTAACTCTGAACACATTACTGTTATAAGAGGAAGATTATTTTCTGTCAGTCTTCACATAAGAAGACAAACGAAATCTGTGTAATTAATTATGATACTGGACCTGAGGAAAGCAAATTGTGTCATATCACTCTAAAGACATGGTTGTAAAAGACTGATTAGAGTGAAACACGTAGCCAGGGATAAGAGTGCAACGGACAAGTAAAGTAGCAGCAGCAACACCCACAGCAAGAGGCATTCTTGAGCTTTCCCAGCGCTCGGGCTTCGGCCCAAAGGTGGGGTGTGGCTCGAAAAGGATCCCGTAGTGCTTGCTGCCTTTGCACCTCCTGACATCGTCTGCTGCTATGCAGCTGCCACACCCTTCGAGCCCAGTGTGGGCGGGGTTTGTGGCAGCACAAGGTGCCTAGCTTCTCCCTCCGAGCCCCGTGGGGGTGGAGAATGAGCCTAGGCCTGGGGACAGCTGGTCCCAGAAGATGAGGAGGTACTTGTACCTCTTCAAATGGCAGACATTGGTCTGAGACACTGCCGCGAAAGGGAGCCAAGACCGGGCCACCTCTTGGAAAAGGTTAGGGCCGGGCGATTATAACGGCGAATCTAGAACAGAACAGAGCGTAGCCAGGTCCCTGACGAACTGTGTTCAAGAATTCTTAAAGAACGCAATAGTAGCGTACCAGGTATGTGGTACAGTATCACTGCAAAAGGGTATCGTACCTCGCATGTGGTACAGTATTACTACAAAACAGAAGACAGATCTCTATCATCGAATTATTGCCCAATCATCCTGATGTCAATAGTGAGCAAATTATTAGGATCGATAATAACGGTAAAAATTACTGTAGAATCCAGTCTGATGACCATAATTTAATTACTAGACAAAATACTGATTCACACGAGGGTGTTCTTTGCTAACAAATGTACCGACACTTTTGGTCCATAGCATTCAAGGTTGTGGACCAACATAAAGAATTTGATGTTTACCCACCCATCCTTCTAAGTGTTAGCACTCTACAATATCTCCACCCATCCTTAAGAGTACCAGCACTCTACAGTATCTCCACCCATCTTTCAGAGTGCCAGCACTATACAGTATCCCTACCCAACCTTCAGAGTACCAGCACTCTACAGTATCCCCACCTATCCTTCAGAGTACCAGCACTCTACAGTATCCCCACGCATCCTTCAGAGTACCAGCCCTCTACAGTATCTCCACCCATCCCTCAGAGTACCAGAATTACAGTATATCTACCCATCCTTCAGAGTACCAGCACTACAGTATACTCACCCATCCTTCAGAGTACCAGCATTACAGTATACTCACCCATCCTTCAGAGTATCAGCATTACAGCATACTCACCCATCCTTCAGGGTACCAGCATTACAGTATACTCATCCATCCTTCAGAGTACCAGCATTACAGTATACCCACCCATCCTTCAGAGTACCAGCATTACAGTATACTCGCCCATCCTTCAGAGTACCAGCATTACAGTATACTCACCCATCCTTCAGAGTACCAGCATTACAGTATACTCACCCATCCTTCAGAGTACCAGCATTACAGTATACCAACCCATCCTTCAGAGTACCAGCATTACAGTATACTCACCCATCCTTCAGAGTACCAGCATTACAGTATACCCACCCATCCTTCAGAGTACCAGCATTACAGTATACTCACCCATCCTTCAGAGTACCAGCATTACAGTATACTCACCCATCCTTCAGAGTACCAGCACTTCAGTATACTCACCCATCCTTCAGAGTACCAGCACTACAGTATACTCTCCCATCCTTCAGAGTACCAGCACTACAGTATACCAACCCATCCTTCAGAGTACCAGCATTACAGTATACTCACCCATCCTTCAGAGTACCAGCACTACAGTATACTCACCCATCCTTCAGAGTACCAGCACTACAGTATACCCACCCATCCTTCTGAGTACCAGCACCTCCTCCCACATCTATGGCACATCCGAGTTTAGTGCTTTTTTTACTGAAGAAAACAACTTTTCCTCTATAGAACTCCAGTTCAACAAAGTGCTTTTCCCTGAATCCTTTACTGCATGTTAGGTTACTCATTGTTACCATGGTAACAATCTTCAGTATGGCCCTTGGATGGTTCACAATGAACGGCCTGATTAATATAATTGTATATTGTTTGACATAACAAGGTCCCTACCAGTAGCTATGAGAGGGGAGGTTCAGCTGTGAATCTCTGTTAGGTTGAGAATATTGTTGAGAATTCCAGCTACAGTAGCGTCAGAAGAAAGATCTTTTAGCAAAGTCAAACATATCAAAAACATTTTAAGATCTGCTATGTCTACCTGACTTGTTGATTTAGCAAGACTGAGTATTGAATCGAGCACTGCCACAGAAATTAATTTTGATAGTCTTATTAAAAATTTTGCAGAAAAAAAGCTCATTTCTAAGTAATTATTAAACTTTCAAGAATTTATTTTACTTTGAAAGAACTTATTAAACGTTTAAAAATTTACGCACTTGTATAGTTATAGGTCAATACATTTTTTCAAAATCTATAAAGTATATGTTACCTGGTCATTTTGCTGCGCAGGAAATAAAGCCTATATGAAAGTTTACCAATAGTTTTACTGGACTTCAAATTCCCAATTTTGAGAGAAGCCTCAACCTGCCCCCAGGGCCCCCAAAGCAGTCTTGTTCTGCCTTGCAAAATTTCTCTTTGAGGCCCTGGTCCCTACACTCGCCCATTGAGACGGGCTAGGATTCCAGTCAATGGAAAGAACCATTTAGGTGGTTTGTGTTATGTGTTAGCCTGACTGGCAAATGTTACGGACGAGTGTGGTAAGGAGAGAGTTTACAGCTCAACACTTGTGACGACACGTTGTTTACTGCTGAACTTTATCAAAACTTAGTTAAAATGCTAACTTGTTCTGCACATGTCTCTAGCATGTACTCGCTCTTTTTACATTCAGTGAACTTTGTCCCTTCATGGTCCCTTCAGAGGTCCCTTCAGGGGTCCCTTCAGGAGTCCCTTCAGGGCAGCTCCTAGGCCTCGTGTTTACTGTTAAACAGCGTCTCACAACCAAGGTCCCTGTCAAGGTTTGTTGTGCATATTAGCAGCCTCTCTGCCCTTGTTTGTTTACTGTCTTGTCTATGTTCCCGAATAAAATACCTCTACCTCCCCCTTGTCCCTTACTCCTTGTGTCAGTCTGCCTTCGTATCTCTCACTCCTCGTCTTTCACTGTTCCTCAACCCTCGATCCTCTTCCTCCTCCCTTATTTCTCCTCCTGCTGCTGCTCCCTCATTGCTCCTCCCTCACCTGTACCCCGGCTTGGGCAGTAGCTGCTTCTTTCTCCTCTTCCTCCTCCTCCTGTTGCCTTTTAACATCCAGGTCGACCATGGATGAGTCTGGGTCCCTCAGCTTGGCCATGATGAACACTTCTTCCGGGTGGTCATCGTGATCATGTGTCTCCAGTTGACCTGGAAAATGGCGGCCAACACGTTAAAAAGAAAGCAATTCATCTGGACCTAGAAACACAGGTAAGCATCTTTAATGAAAACGTTTCGGTCCTCGGACCTTGATCTCTTATCTGAAGTTATTAAGGTCTCTGAACACATACACAACAAGTCTGAACACATACACAACAAGTCTGAACAAATACACACAAGTCTGAACACATACACACAAGTCTAAACACATGCACACAAGTCTGAACACATATACATAAGTCTAAACACATACACAGCGCTGAAAGCAGAAGCTGATTCAGAGCTCCAAGCAACACAGGCTTCCGTAGCGATGTACCGCTGTTGTTGACAGTTAAAGACAGGGACAGAGCCAAGTTTTCATTGGGGAAACGTTTCGCCCGATGCATTAATACACGCAGAAGGCGGATGTTATATCGTGTTAGAGTTAATAAAGAAGACAGCTACGCAACAAGATTTTACTGGCATGTTTCGCTCTGTGTAGAGCTTTATCAAGACATGTTTCGCTCTGTGTAGAGCTTTATCAAGACATGTTTCGCTCTGTGTAGAGCTTTATCAAGACATGTTTTGCTCTGTGTAGAGCTTTATCAAGACATGTTTTGCTCTGTGTAGAGCTTTATCAAGACATGTTTCGCTCTGTGTAGAGCTTTATCAAGACATGTTTCGCTCTGTGTAGAGCTTTATCAAGACATGTTTCGCTCTGTGTAGAGCTTTATCAAGACATGTTTCGCTCTGTGTAGAGCTTTATCAAGACATGTTTTGCTCTGTGTAGAGCTTTATCAAGTCAAAACTGAGTGAAGACCATTCATACACTAAAAAAATATAATTTAAACAAGGTTAACGCGGATTCCGAAGACGTTTAACGATGGTGTTAGTGAATGTCTGGGAAGACTTAACGAATGTTATAATAATAATAATAAAAATAATAATAATAATAATAATAATAATAATAATAATAATAATTTATTTCAGGATGATACAATGTTTGTACATAGATGGGTGACATTTTTAGTTGTGAATGCAGAAAGCCCATCATTATTATTATTATTATTATTATTATTATTATTATTATTTGGGTCACGGCCACTGTCACGCACAAATACGTATCTAGTATCATAAATTATTACAAAAAAGGCCACTAGTATGCCTAGATATTCCTAGGCATTTCGAGCAGACTGATACTATTTCTTACACAGGTTATGGATCATACTGGTATTAAAGTTAGGTAGCTGTAGTGAGTAACTAGATTTACAAAAGTGAGGTAGTTCAAAATATTTAAAAATTAACAATTAGTTTATCTATTTGTGGGAATGATCTGGTCTTGGAATGATAGTTTATTAAAGCTCCTATAGTGGAGTGTATTTTGTTTTGGGGTGTGTTAGCTACCGGTGGGGTGTGTTAGCTACCGGTGGGGTGTGTTAGCTACCAGTGGGGTGTGTTAGCTACCAGTGGGGTGTGTTAGCTACCAGTGGGGTGTGTTAGCTACCGGTGGGGTGTGTTAGCTACCAGTGGGGTGTGTTAGCTACCAGTGGGGTGTGTTAGCTACCAGTGGGGTGTGTTAGCTACCAGTGGGGTGTGTTAGCTACCAGTGGGGTGTGTTAGCTACCAGTGGGGTGTGTTAGCTACCAGTGGGGTGTGTTAGCTACCAGTGGGGTGTGTTAGCTACCAGTGGGGTGTGTTAGCTACCAGTGGGGTGTGTTAGCTACCAGTGGGGTGTGTTAGCTACCAGTGGGGTGTGTTAGCTACCGGTGGGGTGTGTTAGCTACCGGTGGGGTGTGTTAGCTACCAGTGGGGTGTGTTAGCTACCAGTGGGGTGTGTTAGCTACCAGTGGGGTGTGTTAGCTACCAGTGGGGTGTGTTAGCTACCAGTGGGGTGTGTTAGCTACCAGTGGGGTGTGTTAGCTACCAGTGGGGTGTGTTAGCTACCAGTGGGGTGTGTTAGCTACCAGTGGGGTGTGTTAGCTACCGGTGGGGTGTGTTAGCTACCAGTGGGGTGTGTTAGCTACCGGTGGGGTGTGTTAGCTACCGGTGGGGTGTGTTAGCTACCAGTGGGGTGTGTTAGCTACCAGTGGGGTGTGCTAGTTACCAGTGGGGTGTGTTAGCTACCAGTGGGGTGTGTTAGCTACCAGTGGGGTGTGTTAGCTACCAGTGGGGTGTGTTAGCTACCGGTGGGGTGTGTTAGCTACCAGTGGGGTGTGTTAGGTACCAGTGGGGTGTGTTAGGGAGATAGGGTGTTTTAAACGGTGCTTTTTAAAACGGTGGTTGGGTCGGCAGTTCTAGAGTTTTCAGGCAGGAGTTCCAGATTTTAGGCCATTTTATGTACACCACCAACTATAAAAATCGACTATACACGACATATACACTACCGTCGTAGGGGCTTACCAAGATCTCTCAGCTCCTTGTGTATTGAGCGGAGGCGTTCAACGGCCATGTCATCGAAAAAGGACCCTCCTCGTACGATGGGTTGTAGTTCCCGAGGTAGGTCGCTGGCCTCCTGCTGCGAAACCGTCATACTTGCACCCTCCTGCACCACCACCCCCAACAACGCCAACACCACCAACAACACCACCTGTGGGAGGAACACCTTCTATTATTAATATATATTATATAATATATAATTTTTAAAGGGGTGAAGGGGTAAGCCAGCGAAAGGCCTCGGTCAGATGACCAAAAGCTGCAGTGGCGGGTCATCGTATGGCTATGAGCCGCGTCAGGAAACATTTGTCCTGTTACCTAACGTAACCCGGCGTTGTAATGGTGCAACATCAGCACTGTCCCCAGCCAACACTGACATCTTTTCTATTTGTTTTCACTTCCACACACATGACTGTGGCAAAGTATAGATAAATTTGGGCCAGATGAAGTTTTATACCAAAGTAACTACCACAGTGGTATCACCACCATCACCACAGTGGTATCACCACCATCACCACAGTGGTATCACCACTGTGTCTTCAAGTATCATCATTGAATTGTTATCTTAATGTTAAAGTTTCTTGTTATCCAGCCTAGTACTCTACTTGCAGTTGTTATAACATTGTTGTGATCCTTGAACCTGGGAACTTTCCATCACCTGCTGCAGGTGATGGTGGTTACCTGGAGGTTATTCCGGGGATCAACGCCCCCGCGGCGTTGATCCCCGGAATAACCTCCAGGTAACCACCATCACCTGCAGCAGGTGATGGAAAGTTCCCAGGTTCAAGGATCACAACAATGTTATAACAACTGCAAGTAGAGTACTAGGCTGGATAACAAGAAACTTTAACATTAAGATAACAATTCAATGATGATACTTGAAGACATTTGTACTACTACCTGTTATGGTAGAGTGATAGTAAAAACTTTACGATCACTGTACCATAACAACCTCGCGAAATCGTAATAACACTATTGTGAACAACAGAACATGTGGGATTGGAACCAGTGGATAACTAGTCCTAAAACTAACAGGCTGGTGGCGCCCAATCTAACCTTCCTTGCACAAAAATACACCTAGCTGGATAAATCTTATTAGAATGGCATGGCACAATGGATAACGCACTGGCTTGTCATGGGTTCGAACACCCACTCCATTCTGTGAGTTGATATCTCGGTTACAGTTAGTCTGATACACGTGTTACAGGAAACAGAGGTCCGTTCGAAAAAAATAATTCACCTGATACAACATCAACGTTAAATTGATGACTTAATGCAGGTTAGCAGTCTCTCTCTCTCTCTCTCTCTCTCTCTCTCTCTCTCTAATCCCTCCTGGGTAACAATTCTTTGTCCCACTAACCTAAGTAACACTTCCTAATCTCAAGTTATTTGTTATTGCTGAACAAACACACACATGACCTCCCCGTTTTCTGTGTGACGTGCTTCCCGTTTTCCTTCCTGCATTCTTGTAAGATTAGGTTATGTAAGATTCCTCAGGAAACAGGGAAAAAGTGTCTTGTGATCCTGACGATGTTGTGGCGCCTGTAGTATACTGTCAACACTTCTGTGGTGGTGGTGGTGGTGTTGTTGTTGAGGGTGATGGTGGTGGTGTTGTTGAGGGTGATGGTGGTGGTGAGGGTGATGGTGGTGGTGAGGGTGATGGTGGTGGTGAGGGTGATGGTGAGGGTGATGGTGGTGGTGAGAGTGATGAAGAGGTGATGCTGCTGGTAATGGTGGTAGCTGTAAATGTGATATGATGGTTGTTGTGATGTGCTGGTTGTGATTGAGCTAGTGATGGTGATAGTAGTGCTGCTAGTGGTAGTGGTTATACTTGTGATAGTGGTGGTGGTGCAATGGTGGTTGTGGTAGTGCTGGTAGTTAGGTTGTTTTGACTAATAGTATTTCTGAATGTACTCACACTAGTGTTTGCTAGACACACACACACACACACACACACACACACACATACATACATACATACATACATACACTCACACACACACACACACACACACACACACACACACGACACACACACACACACACACACACACACACACACACACACACACACACACATACACACACACACACATACACACACACACACACACACTAGCCTACTAACTTCCTCACCTTCATCATTGGTCGATGTTATCCAAGAGTCTGAAACAAAGAAAAATATAAATTAATAATCATAACTAAATGAATGATAACAAAAATTCCGTTTTAACTAGTAATAACAATGTCTAGACATTACACAAACATTTCTGAGCTGAAATAGTAGTGTACGAGAACAAGGCATATATTCGGGAGACACTGGAGATGTTATGATAAAAAGAGATGTAACAAGACTTGATAAAGCTCTACACAGAGCGCAACACTGTCCCTATACCAGTATGTCTTGTAATGTTTACTAATGTTGAGAGTACGACACAGAGTGAAGGTTCTGATGGTGGAGAAACATCTGTTAAACTTGTTACTAGTTATCCTCCTTCTTCAGTATGTCATCAGCCCAGCTCTGTCTCGCTGCCGCTAAAGGAATAGTGGAGAGTGGTCATCGTATTCTACCGCTCGAAAAAATATAAATGAAGAAAATTAAGGCACATGTGCAACATCTGGGTATTTTTATTGTAGACATTTCGCCATCCAGTGGCTTTATCAATACAAATTTTGTATTGATAAAGCCACTGGATGGCGACACGTCTACAGTAAAGATACCCAGACGTTCAACACGTGTCTTAATTTTCATCTCGTCGGTACTGTATACCATTCTTGTACATAAATATACATGTTTGTGCGTATGTATGTGTGCATATGTATGCAAACTTGTGTACGAGTGCGCTGATGTATATTTATATATACATATGAAGGTGTACACGTTTAAATGTGTATATGGCATGAGGGTCCCTGTATGGATGCGCAGCCACACAGGTCTCAACTGGTGACTAACTGTTGGCGTTTATAGACGCACTCTCATCTCTTTTTTTATTTTATTTTTATTAACACATCGGTCGTTTCCCACCAAGGCAGCGTGACCCGAAAAAGAAGAAACACTTTCATCATCATTCACTCCATCACTGTCTTGCCAGAGGTATGACCACTCTACAGTTCAAGAAGTGTACCCTACTAAAGTCTTTTGATGTACCCTACTAACGTCTTTTGATGTACCCCACTAACGTCTTTTGATGTACCCCACTAACGTCTTTTGATGTGCCCCACTAACGTCTTTTGATGTACCCCACTAACGTCTTTTGGCGTACTCTTTTATTTTCTTTAAGTTAGACAAATTTAATTTAGATAACGACATGTGTGAATAAGAGACATTCCGAGATTATCCCGTGAGAATTAAACGCTAATTTCTTCATTATAAATGACAACACAGCCTAAAACTAATTCAAACCTACCACTAAGAAACACAAGCACTGAAAGCTTAAAGCTAGTCTACCGGTGGCCCGGTGGCTAAAGCTCCCGCTTCACACACGGAGGGCCCGGGTTCGATTCCCGGCGGGTGGAAACATTTCGACACGTTTCCTTACACCTATTGTCCTGTTCACCTAGCAGCAAATAGGTGTTAGTCGACTGGTGTGGGTCGCATCCTGGGGGGAGAGAGAGAGAAATTTGAACATATATAGAATTAAGTTACCACACGGTAATGAAATTTGAGGAACGGGCTACGTAACAGTGACCAGAGGTCATTCACACATGCCAGTAGCTACACGAACCGTTCCATCATTATAATAAACCAGCATTGAGGATTTGGAACAGATCGGAAGAGGCGTTGTAAATGAGAGGTTGAATTATTATCATGGGGAGCGTTAAACCCGCGTCTGTGGGGAAGGGGTGGTACGCATCCATGCTGAATTCAGGGCACTGGAGCACAGATCCAGTGAGAGACTGGAGAAAGAAAAAAATAATTCAAGCACTTAAAGATACCCTTTCGAGGATACTTAATTACACTAACTTAAGGAATACTTTATTCCTTAAAATAAGAAGGAAATCAAATGTCAACTAGCGTGAGGCAAAGTATAGTAATCACTTGCTCTTCTTGGTACTCTGCCTTGACAAAAAAACTGAAAGATAGACTGCAAATCACCCAGAACAAAATCGTAAGATTCATCCTGGGGCTGGGACCAAGAGAACATGTAGGCCAGGATGAATTACAGCAGTTGGATATGCTGAATGTTGAAGACAGAGTAAAACAACTGAAGCTAAATCATGTTTATAAAATTGCTCACAAACAATGTCCAGAATATCTTGCTGTCAATTTTGTCAAGGTTGGGAACCAAAGCAATCATAGTACTAGGGGGAGAGAGCACAACTTTGTAGTACCCACAGTCAGTGGCCAGGCTTCAAACACCTTTTATTGTACAGCAATAAAGGAATGGAACAGACTACCCGCACATGTCAAAGCCAGTCATAGCATGAACCAGTTCAAGAAGTGTGCCAAAAGGTGTCTGATGAATGTAGCTACAGAAAGGGAGGGGAATGATTTTCTATTTTTTAGCTAACATACGTGTAAATTTTACCTTATTCCTTGTAATGACCCTCGTATTGTAGATAGTCTTAATGACCTTGGTGTAGCAGATAGTCTTTTTAGTATGATAATAAGATATTATCTTCATTGTAGAATAATAAGAAAATATTATAACCTTTATACTATAATAATAAGGTAAAAGGACCCCAATGGAAATAAGTCACTCTGTCTAACTTTTTTGGGTTATCCTAGGTTCTCTACACATATGCTGCTATGTATGATAATTCTATGTAACTGTATTTGTGTATACCTGAATAAACTTACTTACTTACTTACTTACACTGCACGAGTTACACTGAAATTTACCAAGACGTCCTTTATTTACGCATCATAGAAAACGTAACTTTTTGTTATTTTTTGCAGGGAGAACTGAAGGAAAGTAAAGTTATTTAGATAAAATTACACTGCAAGCAAAACTTTACATTAAAAGAAGACTTTGTACATTATTATTATTATTATTATAATCAAGGGGAAGCGCTAAACCCGGAGGATTATACAGCACCTGGGGGGGGGGATGTGGAAGGCATTCAGGCTTAATTCGGGGAACTGGAGCACAGATCAATTCCCTAAATCAAGAGCCCCTCACCAACATCAAGGAACCTTCCTTGAGGGGAAGACTTTGTACAGATTATTAATCTGGAGAGTCAGTAAAGCAGGATAACTGCCTAGTTTACAATAAACAAATTATGTTGGTTAATTTCATATATCATGTATATTTCTGTGTATTAATTATAAGATGTGTATAGCATACAAATAACCAGCACTTATGAGAGGTTCTAAGAGGTCAGTGGTCTAAGTTAGATCGAAATAAGCCACTGGCTTTTTGTGGGGGTTATCCTAGGTAATTTACACATATGTTACTATGTATGATAACTTGTATAGCTGTATTTATGTATACCTGTACCTAAATAAACTTACTAAACGTTGTTGTAAGTTTTCCCTCTCCTAAGTGCGCGGGTTATTTGTATACGGTTCCAGCCAGGGTATTATTATTCAGTGGCTCACCCACAGACAGGTGGTGGGTGTACCACTGGACGAGGGTCAGTAACAATGCATGTAAACTGTTCCCCACTCATTAAGAATACTTGAATCTCTAAAAAATATGGGTTAAAGTAAATTCTCACTGAATACTATATGCTGAAGCACACCTCTCGGTAAATAATACATTATATATATATATATATATATATATATATATATATATATATATATATATATATATATATATATATATATATTTTCAACAAGTCGGTCGTCTCCCACCGAGGCAGGGTGACCCAAAAAAGAAAGAAAATCCCCAAAAAGAAAATACTTTCATCATCATTCAACACTTTCACCACACTCACACATTATCACTGCTTTTGCAGAGGTGCTCAGAATATAACAGTTTAGAAGCATATACGTATAGAGATACACAACATATCCCTCCAAACTGCCAATATCCCAAACCCCTCCTTTAGAGTGCAGGCATTGTACTTCCCATTTCCAGTACTCAAGTCCGACTATATGAAAATAACCGGTTTCCCTGAATCCCTTCACTAAATATTACCCTGCTCACACTCCAACAGATCGTCAGGTCCCAAGTATCATTCGTCTCCATTCACTCCTATCTAACACGCTCATGCACGCTTGCTGGAAGTCCAAGCCCCTCACCCACAAAACCTCCTTTACCCCCTCTTTCCAACCCTTTCGAGGACGACCCCTACCCCTCTTTCCTTCCCCTATAGATTTATATGCTTTCCATGTCATTCTACTTTGATCCATTCTCTCTAAATGACCAAACCACCTCAACAACCCCTCTTCTGCCCTCTGACTAATGCTTTTATTAACTCCATACCTTCTCCTAATTTCCACACTCCGAATTTTCTGCATAATATTTACACCACACATTGCCCTTAGACAGGACATCTCCACTGCCTCCAACCGTCTCCTCGCTGCTGCATATATATATATATATATATATATATATATATATATATATATATATATATATATATATATATATATATATATATATATATATATATAAATATCCAGTGTGTATATACAATGAGAAATATACCTCTCAGTATATGCATCCCAAGTGCTGGTTCAATTTAATTTTTCTTTTTCTTTGTGTTCATTAGCGAATATTTATGTAAATGCAGCAGAGAGTGTACCACATATGCAGTATAGTGCACTACTGGTACAGTACACCGTACTAATGCAATACAGTGTAATAGTATAATAGTGTTTTGTACACTGTATTGTACTTGTTGGTACCCAGTCTCAGAAATTGCTTCAACAACCTTGATGAGGAAGGGACGGAGGCAGTAGCTATACACAGTTGTAGCAGTAGGTATGATAGTTACCATGAAATCAAAGGATTTTGCGTGAATGTTCAGAACTGGAACTCGGGGCCAAGAACCGAGACCTGACCCCCGCAGCTACCACTAGGTGACCACACACACACACACACACACATCTGTACACCATCTACGTCAGGCCCATACTGGAGTATGCAGCACCAGTTTGGAATCCACACCTAGTCAAGCACGTCAAGAAATTAGAGAAAGTGCAAAGGTTTGCAACAAGACTAGTCCCAGAGCTACGGGGATTGTCTTATGAAGAAAGGTTGAGGGAAATCGGC